TTTCATATAGGCATAAATGTTTATTAAAATTAGTCTCCTAATGCATATCGTCTTTTAGTGTTTAATCCGTTTTAGATTGTTTTTACAAGCTCGGGAAAAACAGTCGTGACAATGGATGACGAGGGTTGCATCAAATTGTGGGACATTACTGAGACAACTTCTGTTCCTCTGAAAGTATTAAATGCAGCTCATAGTGATCACATTCGATGTGGAGATGCTTCCATTCGATGTGATCATTTGTTTGTTAGTGGTAAGCGCACATTTTTTAAGCCATTTTCATTTTTGTACATTTTTGACTACTCAAATGGCAAAGTAATTTTGCATTACAAAATTTTTCTGTGAAGTTGAACTTCTGAATTTTATTTTTTACTTCGTATTGTAGAATTCATTGGTGATAACAGGACATTTTTTATTTGCTGTTGTATAAAGTTTCACTACTGCTTTTATTACATAGGTTCATATGATCACACTGCAAAGGTCTGGAGTACACAAACAGAAGGAAATGAACCTCTCTTATCAGTAAATCATTGTTGGCCAGTTGAACAGGTTTTGCTGCTTCCTGGAGACGCATTTCTTTTGACCGCTGGAGGACAATATATTAAATTTTGGAATATTGCTTCTGGTGGTATTTTGCATCATACTCTTCATCATCATCATAAAACGGTATTGTATTTCAAATAAATCTAGCATTATTTAAATAATACCTAGGTACAAGTTTTGTAGCCTGCAGTTTCTTACAGATTACTATTAAACACTTATAAGCGCACAAAAATTTTCAGGTTACATCACTTTGCCTTGCATCGAAAGGTACTCGCCTCCTTTCGGGTGGTCTTGATAAACGTGTCAATGTTTTCAGCCTTGACGGTGGATACTATAGACTATTACATTCATTTAGTTTACCCGCGCAGGTACTGTACAGTTTTTTTATAATTCTCTGGAGCAGCTCTTACATTCATCAAATATCTATTTTAGAATGTGTTCATCGATTCATAACATGGTAATATTACTTATTAGGTACTTACGTTGTCAGTATCTTCGAATGACCGATTCATGGCAATAGGAATGGGAAATTTGTTGCAAATTTCAATGCGAGATGATCCGGGAAATCTGGAAAATTGTTTAAAAGCAGCGCAAACCTCAAATAAAGGACTTGAATTTCACAAACAGTACTTTTTAAAAACCTTCACAATTTAGAAGACTTTTTCCAACTAAACGTGTCTTCTTCGTTTAATTCAAAATTTCATTGCCTATTGTTATAGTGTAGAGTATTGTTAACTGTGCTAGTTAATTAAGCTTGTCAGTATAAAAAATTAAAGTGCAGAATTAAGCTGCTTACAATCTATAAATGTATTGTTCAAGGATGGCTGTCGATGTTCCTTGCATACATCAGCTAGTCCGTGGTGGAACGTCGCGAAAAGTTGAATTAAGTGCCACTCGTGTTTCTCAGGTTATATTTCTTTTTCATGATGCAAATCTACAACATATAGAAGTATTACAACAAGTCTTGCTTATATATGTGAGCAGCTGCTCTTATTTTAGCCGAAATTGGGTAAAGTGGATTTGTTGCTACGACGATTTAAGCATTGGAAAGCAGTGGACGTTCTTTTTCGTGAAAAGTTTTATAAATCACGTCCTGACATTGTTGTTGGCGCATTAATGCAGGTTCTTTTAAAAGTTATTTGAAATTTCGCACTATTTTAGAAGACGAAATTTATCTGTTAACTAGCACTCGATTCGACTGTAGTTTGGGTTACATTATTTTTTTGAGATCTCTATGTATTTTAATTTGAATTTGTGCTCAATGACTGTTATGAAGACGAATGACTTATTTTCTCTTTTTTATATATACAAACGAGGGGCGTTAATAGTGGCACTTTCGGGACGCAAAGCAGATACTATTCATCCAATACTGTATTTCTTGATGCAACATTTTTGCAGACCAGAATACATGCATATAATACTCAAAACTATCAAAATTATGTGTGGTTCGTCATTTTTTATTACATCAGAAAGTATAGCACGAATTTAAAGAAAAATCGGTATATCGGTTTTTGATTGTTTAGAAAAAATACTTAAAAAGCTTAAAAAATAACGA